TTGGAATTCTTCTGGAGTACGAAAAAGGAGTTTGTGTTGAAAGTACTTGAATTAACTCTTATTGATGCTTTTAAAGCACAGCTGTTTAGCTTAGTCTTCTCCCTCTGCAAATGTGATAGGCAGGAGCTATTCTCTATCATGAATACATAGTGAAATGCACTGGAAAAATGGTGGTAATCATTCCTGACATTTCTTAATTCCCTGCTTTGAGGGCATGCTAGAAAGAGGAGATGGTATTTGTAAAATAGTGTCCTGCTCCCTTGTACCCAGAATTATGTCCTCACTTACCAAGTACAGCACAGAGAAAGCAAGGCAAAAGGGAGGGATATTGAGAATTACTTACTGTTGTTTTAAGTATTGCTCTATATTTTTAAAGCATAAATATTGATGTAGATTTGCATTTAAGGTATGAGAACCCAGTGTCTTGACTCAATGGGGGAGTTTTCAAAAACCATTCTTTTAGAAATTGATTTCTCATTGGCTGATATCCTGAGGATAAGTAAAAACAAACCATTCTTTTCAATCTTGGAAGAACAAGAGGAGTGCAAGTGCTTATCTAAGAAATAAGACTAGAAATATCTACATTTATGGGACCTCCTAAATCTTAAAACAGAGAAACTGTACAAATTTTCTTCTTCCTTGGTGTATTATCATGCAGCAATCACTATGAAAATGCCTCACAGCCCATGGGCTTTTATACAGCCACTCCTCCATAATAATGATTAGCTTTATTACTTAAAGTCCAGGCTTGCATTATAAGCAAAAATTAGTATATTCATAGAACCATAGAATTTCAGTGTTGGAAATGATGTCAGAAGGCCATCTAGTTATATATAGGAATCCTTTATGAAGTGTTTTTGGCAAGGGGCCATCTAATCTCTGCCAGATCACTGCCATTATTGGCAAGCTGAACTTCTTGAGGCATCTTGCTTTCTTCTTCACTGTTGGTTCTGTTAGAAAATTTTCTCTCAAGGAGTCAGACTTCTTACTCACCTACCATTTGTGGTAATACAAAGTAATTGTTTTCTTTTTCATGTATTTATATGTTTGAGGATAGCTATCATGTTGCTTATATTTGCTGTGCCCAGAGTGAATATTCCTGGTTCTGTTAGTATTTCTTTGGAAAATGCTAATAATCATTCCTGTCATTTTCATAACCCTGTATTTTGATGGAGAGTGTTAATCATTCTGATTGTCCCTCCTTATGAATGCATTCCATCTTGGCAGTGTCCTTGTTACAATGTGGCATGCATAACTAGAGGCAGTGCTGCAAAAGTGTAGAATACAGTGACGCATCTTGTTTTGAACATAATTTGGGTTATATAATTTAATTACTGCAGCCTAAAATTGAGTATATTTCTTTGGTGTAGATGATGGAAAAATCTCTAGGAACTTAGCCTGAGTGTGTTTCTTCACCTTTTCTTTGAAGTCAGAAAAGCATATGTAAGGACTTTGATAAATGACATAATGTAGTGGCATATTTGAGTGGTACAGGTATTTTAAACCTAGCTCCAGTTCTTGAAGATGGTGAACATCTGCTTAGAGGTATTGTAGAGCTCCACAATGCACTAATTGAATTACTCTTTTCTGGAGTTGCTGACTGCACTAATTGAATTAGAATCAGTGTGTGTGTGTGTGTGTGTGTGTGTGTGTGTGTGTGTGTGTGTTTGTGTGTGTGTGTGTAAGTGTGTGTAACTGAGATAATGTGTGTGTGTGTGTGTGTGTGTGTGTGTGTGTAACTGAGATAATTCCAACCTTAACAGGAGAGACTGGGGGAGATATGAATGATGGCGTGTACTGTGCTGCTATCTAATGGCAGCGCATGGAAGTACTGCCTGGTCTCCAGGGAAGACAGAATGTAGTCATCTGATCTAGCGTGACCTTAGTCTAACCCCATCCAGTTTAGTTCAAAAGGTCTCAGGATGTATTTTTGTAGTTCTAAATCTAAGAAGAAAGAATGTGATTAATTTACCTATTAAGAATTAAGATATGTTTTATTAGGCATAAAGTTTTTTACAAAGTATTAAGTCTCAAATATTCAACTGAATTAAAAACGTCTAACTTCTAATATCAGTATAATTGGTGAAAACAAATCCAAATGTACTGAGTCAATGGGTCATGTTCTTTTTCATTTTGCCTTTCATATGACATAAATGTAAAACAGAATTACCTTTTAAAAATTCTTAGCATAACAGAAAGTAATGATATAGGGCTTGTGTTCTTAAATAAAATTTCTTTCTGATTGTCAAAATACTGAAAGTCAGTCAGTCAATTTAAGGGTGTTATCAAATTTTACTATACATAATTATGCTTATATAAAATTTTTAAATTATTATAGGAAATATTTTAATTATAGCAGTCTCAGAGCAAGTTTTACAAATTTCTGCTGCTCTAGTTAATTGTTTAAAATTTAACTTTATCACAAATTTGGTCAAGTTTGCAATTCTCTGAAGTGAAATAGGTAATTCTTCCTTTTCTAAAAAAAAAAGAACCCATTAATCACAATTTAATGATTTTTGTAAAACATCATGAAAATATAATTCTGTACAACTTTAAAAGCAAATACACTGAGGACAACTCAGCAAGCATGAACTGTATTTTGATTCAGTATAACTCTAGGCATTCTAACTTATAAAATAACCCTTAACAGAAAAATACACATGTATAATCACTTGATTTATAGAGTGTGTATGTGGACCTGTAATACCACTTTAACAGTAGAAAAGTGCTACTGGATACCTTTCTTGTATAAGTTTCAATCTCTTATATATGGTCTTCATTATTAAAATAAAAAGTAAGTTTTAATGTTCCAATATTTTATAGGCTAATTTGGTTTTTATTGTAGGATTGAGCTACTTAGGTTTCTGAGCTATACAAATAGCATTGATTAATAGGACTAAAACAGGGGCTTCCCTGGTGCTGCAGTGGTTAAGAATCCACCTGCCAATGCAGGAGACACGGGTTCAAGCCCTGGTCCGGGAAGATCCCACAAGCTGCGGAGCAACTATGCCCGTGCGCCACAACTACTGAGCTTGCGCTCTACAGCCTGCGAGCCACAACTACTGAGCCCGAATGCCACAACTACTGAAGCCTGCACACTTAGAGCCTTTGCTTCGCAACAAGAGAAGACACTGCAATGAGAAGCCCGCGTACCGCAACAAAGAGTAGCTCCTGCTCACTGCAACTAGAGAAAGCCCTTGTGCAGCAATGAATACCCAATGCAGCCAAAAATAAAATAGATAAAATAAATTTAAAAATTTAAAATGACTAAAATATATGATATGCACTCTTTATATCTGCTTTCAAGGGCATTTTACTGATTTAGAAAATGTATTTTGATACCATGTAGATTTAAGGCTTTACAAATAACATTGCCATTCACAACTAGCCACAACTCAGTTTAATTCATGTATAGAGTACCTTCTGTGTGCCAGGTACTGTACAAAGTACTGGGCATAAATTAAGATTCAGACCCTGTCCTCGAGGAGATTATAGTTATTTATTAGACATTTATTAAGAACTTATGTACCAGGCACTATGTAGATAATTTGAGGGACTACTGCTGTGAATAACCATTAGTTTCATGTATTTTTCCCATTCATTGAGCTAGAGGTCTGGCTTAGTAGCCGGTCTAAGGAAGCAGTATACTTATTTTCGTATCAGATATAGCTCATCTCAGCAAAAAGAGTGATCTTAAATGGTTTTCCCTTCTGCCTTTACGTACCTTCTAAGGGAGCAGTGATGTTTTTGATAGCTTTACATGTAGCTTTAAAAAGAGATGGGTAACATTTATTACAGTGCCTCCTGCTGGTAAATCATAGATTTTCAACCCTGTTGTCTCCAGAATTTGTAGTGCCCACTTGTGGTTTGGTAGTTACTTCAGGGTTTCTTCTAAGGTTATGAGTGGGAAGGAGTCTACTGCATACAAGGTATAAAGTACTTCTTTAAACCATCTATTTCTAGAACTTAAATTGTCCTGGGACCAGCTCTTGATATAAAAATTCATAGAAACCTGTTTTTCACAGAGTGTGGTAACTCCTTGCCATAGTGCTGTAGTGTTAAAATTCACATTGGCCAGGTTGTTCTGTAAATTAAACACTGACAGCTGCCCTCAGGGGAACAGCCAATGTATTTATGATGATGTGCTGATTACACAAAATACACTGCAAGCAGAAAACAGCTGCAGAGAACAAACCTCTTAAAAAGAATACAATTACAAATAGCACCCTCAGTATTTCTAGTGGTGAGTGTAGAATACAGCATGCTAATGCAGGTTTCTTACTTAGTCTGCCTGAAAACAAAAAATCTGAAGGAGATAAGTTAAATTATGGTTGGTTGCACGTGTGCCCACATTAGCAATGAACAAATTTTGTTTCTGAAGAGCACAGCTATGAGTGCACAAATATAAGGTGTGGAGTAATTTTAACCCCCCCCCCCTTTTCTTGTTAGTAGGCTTTATTGGTGCCTTTCTTATATATAGTAGGGCATGGCCTTGAGTCGATAAGGGTTTGGACATTTGAAGGATATTACACAATTGACCAGGAGAGTATCAAAAATTGTGTTTTAAAAAATTCAATAGGAATTCCATATGTTAGGGCTTGGATATCAACATTTTGTTTGGGACTTCCCTGGTGGCGCAGTGGTTAAGAATCTGCCTGCCAACGCAGGGGACACGGGTTCGAGCCCTGGTCCGGGAAGATCCCACATGCCGTGGAGCAACTGAGCCCGTGTGTCACAACTACTGAGCCTGTGCTCTAGAGCCCGTGAGCCACAACTACTGAACCCACGTGACACAACTACTGAAGCCCACACACCTAGAGCCTGTGCTCCACAACAGGAGAAGCCACCACAATGAGAAAACCATGCACCACAAAGAAGAGTAGCCCCCGCTCACGGCAACTAGAGAAAGCCCACGTGCAGCAACAAAAGACCCAACGCAGCTAAAAGTAAATAAATTAATTAATTAAATTTTTAAAAAAGACAAAACATTTTGTTTGCAGATACACCTCTATACATTCATTGTTATAATGGCTTTGAAGACGTTTGCCCTTGGAATTAATAAAAGGAGTCACAACTCTGTATCTGTGGTAAGGTCTCTGATTTCTTAGATTCTGTTTTTCAAGAATTTGGTGTTTTAGGACACTGTAATAGCTGGGTGATAACATATTTTTAGGAGAATCAATTCTCAGGTATGTCCCCTTTCATCCCTGTATGTTCGTGGTCATGTGCAGACAGGTGAGATCAGAAAAAAATTTAGTTGTCCTTGTTTGAAATTCTCTGTTACAGTTTAGGGTCTGTATTTATAAAATATTTCAACCGCTGAGCATGCTAGCTTCTGTTTAAATCAGTGGAAAATATGTTGATCTTCCAAGACATGGATTTACTCAAGCCAGTGCTAAGGTGTAGCAGGGGGATATAGTTATTGGAAACAGTTCACTTCACCCGCCTGAAACTAAGAATCAACTCTTCAGTATATGGATCACTGGTATGTAATAATCGACTATTATTGGTCTGTCTGCTGGTCTCTTTTTAAATCAGTTTGGAACCTCCTGGAGTTATTTTCTTGCTCTGCTGACATCAATCCCATGTGGCAGAGGAGTTGTGTATAACCACTTTGGTTTAATCAATAGAATAATTGATAAACCAGATAAGATTTAAACTGATTATAGCCCCAACAGAATTCCCCAGAGGCCTTGGACTCTCTTAATTTTGACATGTGTGTTTTGTACCCTGAGGATGAAGTGCAGTTTGAATTATCTGTTTTTATTTGCTTAATGATGGGGAGGGTGTTAAAGTCAAATGTTTAATTAACCCAGCAATGGGCTGCGTTGTCACTTACACACAGCTGATTGAGATATCTCATGGAGAATAGTGAATAGGAATGATAATGTGGCACTGGGACGGAAGATTGCTTTTTCAATCTATTTGCTGGGTCACTGCTTTGAATGTCTTATTGGATGAAAGGCATTCAGCCTGGAGAAAAAATTCAGCATTTAAGTACATTTTGTTCTCTTCTCCCCCTCTAACCCCCCCTGCCCAGAAGTTAACTAAAACAGATATGTTCTAGGTTTAATAAGCCATTCATGTACTAGTAAGAGACCAGGGTAGTCAGTAGCCTCAAGCTACATAATTTCCTGTGGAACAGAAAAATTGTAGTAGCCTCCAAGGTATTCTAAATGTGAGCTCTTTTGTCCCTCACATCCCTTGTCCCTTGCCATTATTGTGGAGTTGTCTTTGGTTACTTGTCTCTTGCCTCTTTCTGCAGTGTTTGCTTGATATGCCCCTACCTCTAGGGCCACAGGCAGACCTTTTTCTCCTACAGAAGCATATTCTCCAGTACATTTTTGCCATTTCATGCAGCTGGCTTCTATTTGGTTGTATTTCTAATCAAATATTATAGTCAGATTGTCGAACTATTTAAAGAGAAGAAAATGTGAAGCATATAGATTCTTGCTCCCTTTGCTACTGCTATTATAAAACAGTTGGTTCCATGTATATTTTATTTTGTTCAGAAGCAGTTTGCTTTCTGTATGAACTAAAATCTAGGCCAGGAAAGATTCTAATAGCCCACATATCAAAAATGCAATTCAGGCAACTGGAGTTTTAATGACTTGCTACCCACAAAACATTCCTTACTAGCTTTATAATCAATGTAAAATTCTTTGGAGGCATATGAGCAAAACTTAAAAAAATTTTTGTCATGACTTTCCTTTTTTGTAGTTCTATGCTTCTTCCTTTTATCCCCCAAAGATCTAAGCCAGGAATTTACTAATTTTTTTTCTTTGCTTTAGTCATTTGTATTCCAGAGAGCACAATAGGGAGAAGGATACAAGATTGATTTTTGTGTGTGTGTCCTCTTGAAAGCATAGTCTGGGGCATGACTACTTGTGTGTGGGGGGGGTGTGGATTTACAAAGCAACAGAAGCATGTAGCTAGTTTTCAGGTGCATTTTGGACTTTTGCAGGTCAAGGCAGACCAGAGGAGTAGCTTATCTTGAGGGACACAAGTAATAGACGAAATATAGAGCAGCTATTTCAGGAATCATGTAGGTCATTTAATTATCCATTATGATTGAGTGGCTAATGCTCTTTTGGCAATTACATGACCTCTGTTATTCTTGAAAGCTTTCCAGGCCCCCGTGGGTCGAATGACCCACCAGGCAGTGCTTGCAGACTTTATTCCACTCAAAAGGAAAGGAGATGCTGGGCGCTACTGGCATTTAGAAATGGCTGTGCTTTCTTTACCAACCACTACCCAGAATATCCTTTGTACAGCAGTCAGTGATAGGCAGCTGGTTTTGAAGTCTACCGTTCCTTCCTTGTATGCAGAAGCACGAGGTATATCGGTTTCCACAAGAGGGAATTGTGGCAAACAAACTTTAATACCAAAGTTGGCCATTATGGTATTCACGGGTTCTGTACTGCAAAGAACAAGTACTGTGGTATTAAAACTAATGTTTGATATCTCTCAAACCAATCATTCATTATCAAACTCTGAAGTTAGTGATTTTTTTCATTCCATAACTCAACAAAATAGCATTGACAATACTAATAACAGATTTTTTTTAAAGAGATCATTGATTAAATCAGCCCAATCTGAATTGGTTAATCATTATTTATTCAACTAAATAAACTTAAATAATCATGCTTATATGTGGAATCTAAAAAAAATGGTGCAGATGAACTTATTTACAAAACAGAAGTAGACTCACAGATATAGAAAGCAAACTTACAGTTACCAAAGCAGAAAGGGGGTGTGATAAATTAGGAGTTTGGGATTAACAGATACATACTACTATATATAAAATAGACAAGGATCTACTGTATAGCACAGGGAACTATAATATCTTATAATAACCTATAATGGAAAATAATCTGAAAAAGAATATATATATATGTAGCTATATCTACATAACTTTACATGTGAAACTAACACATTGTAACTCAACTACACTTCAATAAAAAAAAATCATGCTTAAATGATTATCTAATTAAAAACAGCCACTCTAAAATTGAGATGCTGATCCAAGATGGAATAATTCTGCAACATTTAGATGAATGTTTCTGACCTTTTTTTCTTTAATCAATAAAGGATCATTAATATTTCTAAAGAAAATTCTTTACTCCTGCTAAATGATAGTGAAACTTTTGCTTTTTATAATTATAGTGGCTTATTGAGTAATTCTGAGAAAAGAAAATAATGTGGGTTTCTTGTGATTCTTTAGATTAAGAACAGTTATGGCGTGAAAAGTAATGACATCACAATCAAACTATTTATAGGGTTTGTTGGAAATGTACAAACAAAATTCTATATACTTAGCAAAATGGAAGATTACCATATTCTCTAGTGGTCCAATAATTTAAAACCACAGGCTTAAGAGAAATAATTTTGTTAGAATAATGTACAAACATATCCTTTAAGTAGAGACCATTTGCATTGTTATAGAAAAAATAATCTATTGGAGAAAAAAATCTTTTAAAATTTGTTACTTACACATCAAAGAGCATTGTTAACAACAACAACCCTACAAGGTTGTTTGTCCCTGGGGTAGTAAAATTAGCTATCTTTCCAAATAAATTTATCAGACCACTCTTGGTAGAACTCAAAGTTGATCTGTTTTTCTTTTTTTAAAAATTTTGTTGTTTGGTACAAATGAAAAACTGACGACATGAATTGATGTTTATAACCTTTGACCCTTCAGAAATGGAAGCCTTCTCACTTAAATTTTAAATCCTTTAGGCCAGTACTACCTTGGTATCTGGCTACTTAGAGACCTGTGAGAATGTAGTCAGTGTGAATTATATTAGTTGTTTTCTGTTTAAAAACATATTTTCCCTCATTATATATAAATACATATATTTTTTATTTTTTTTTGCGGTACGCGGGCCTCTCACCGCTGTGGCCTCTCCCGTTGTGGAGCACAGGCTCCGGACGCGCAGGCTTAGTGGCCATGGCTCACGGGCCCAGCCGCTCCGCGGCATGTGGGATCCTCCCAGACCGGGGCACGAACCCGCGTCCCCTGCATCGGCAGGCAGACTCTCAACCACTGTGCCACCAGGGAAGCCCTGTATATATGTATTTTAAAATATCGGTAGTGGAGATGAGCAGAAAATGAGAAAGCAGAATTTACACTAAAAGCAAAAGTTAGAGCTTAAACTCAAGTATCCTGAATAAGGAGTATAATTTGTCTAGTTGGCACTTTAAGAGGAAAGCAAGGACCATAAAGCAAAGTGTGATGTTTGATTTCTTATCGGTAAGTTGCTATTCTTTAAGGCATACCCTTCAAGACCTGTGTTGGACTGTGTTATTCACCCTTGGAAACCAAAAATCTATATAAGTAAATGAGTGGAGATGGTATTTGTAATTTTAAAGACCTGAAAATTCATTAAGACTTCGTATAATTAGTGGAAATGTCCACAGGATAATAAGCCCACAGAAGAATAATTTCTTAATAATAATAAGGAAGAAGGAGAGTGATTAAATAAGGGATAGTGCATAATAGAAATATACACCGAAATACAAATCTTAACCTAACCCAATCCGATTTCCACAAATTTACTTATTTACTTGAGATGGTTTTATTTTCATTCCAAATGGATAGATTTGGGGATAAGTTTATCAACTGTAAAGGAGCCCTAAATTTCTTCCTCAATATTGTTGAATTGTAATAAAATGGGAGCACTAAAGCAGGGAAGATATCCAAGGTGTGATGAAAGTCATTTAGCAGAAAAAATTCAGGAACAGGAATGACAGAAATAACTATTCTGCAGAGAGAACGGATTTTGGCATACTTCCTAAGGGTTCTATAGTTCTCAACCCCATTTTGAGAAATCAAAAAGATCTACTGAAAGCAGATGTCTCTGAGTTACAAAAATAACCAGATGTCCTTATTAGTAGAAGCAAATGTTTGCCTTTTAATTCACATAGAACTATATGCATAGGATCACTGGATGAAATATTGTGTAAATATGGCAGCAAAGAAAATTGTGGCATGAAAGGGTCTGTCCTAAACATGTAAGCATAAAGGTTCTATCTTGAAAAGGAAAAAAAATTATTTTAGATTCATGTAGATTTAAAGGTAAGAGAA